AAAGCACCCAGGCAGAGCTGCTGGTGCCCCCCTCTCACCCGCTCGGGGGTCGTCCGGGTGCTTGTCCGGGTGGCAGCTCAGGGCCTTCTGCCGGTACGCCTTCTTCACCTGCAAGAGCCAGAGGGGAGGCTGCCTGCTGGGTGCTGCCCAGCCTGCGCCCAGAAAAGCAGCCTGGAAGAGCCAAACCCAACACTGCAGGAGCAAAAACCACCCAGAGAGGTTCTTTGGGTGGTGGTTTTGCTTAACTTAACCCTCACCCCCCCGCCACGCGCGGGACCCTGTGGCTGAACCAGCGCCCGTGACCAGACACCCCCGGGACTGACAAAACACAGACCACCTTTGGGGTGCCAAGATCTCCATCACACCCCCATGCTGCAAGGCAAAGCGGCCTGCTGTGGCACCAAGAGACCTCCAAAAAGCTCCGTTTTCAACCTCAGTGCAGTGATGTGTCCTTTTTAACCGCCCTGTGCCCCAGGGACCAGCGTTTGAGGCCAGGGTGCCACAGCTTAAATGAGTCTGAGATGTGTAAAGCCAGAGGTTCTGCTTCTGGGTGCATCATATTACAGCAGCCAAACCTCACGTCCTCAAGCCGAGGCTGCCTCACCAAAGCCCTTCTAGCCAGAGGGATACTGTGTTCTTACTGCTGTAGCTCTAGGACAGAGAAAGTACCATTGCCTGAGCAACAAACGAGCTCATCAAGGTGAAGAATTTTTGACCAGAGACTGTTTAATCTCGTCTACACTTCAAAGAAAAGCTGACACCTTTCTGAGAGATGCCAGTTGTAATAACCTGAGCTCCCTTTGCTTGGGCAAGAAGGAGAATTGAGAAGCTGCTCTGCTCCACTGCCAGGCAGGCCTCTGCTAAACCTAAACCGAGTGAAGGAGCAGTGGCCTGGCCCCACCTGCTGGGCAAAGCTCTGGGAAGGGAAATGTGCAGCTCAAGCCTTACAGGCCTAATCCTGCCTCCTGGCTGAGCAGGACTCCGGTCAAGAGAGAGCTGAGTCTCCTCCCCAGGCGTTAGGCACAACTATTACAACAACCATTCTCTGTGGCAAGTTCAGATCAGGCTCCTCAGAACAGTGAGGCCAAATGACTAGAACCGGCTGGTCCTCACGTGTCACCTCTGCTGGCCAGGCTGCTCTGCACCACAAAGGTCTCTGGGCTGTGTGAAGTGTTTTACATCAAGGATTAGCACTCTAAATCACACCTGTCCTCTTTCAGTTCCACCATAACATCCCGTTTGTCCCGTGGGGTACATTTGGCTGCTCCCCGTTTCGTGCTGGACGCACGTGGAATTTCCAGGCATCCTCAGCCACAACTGATGTTTCTGCCAGGACTGTGGCTTTCAAGTTTAACCTTACGGTGCTGCTGCTGCTCTTTATTGCTAAAGAAAAGACCGAAAACTAAAAAGACAAACCCTAAACAGGAGAATCAAGGTTTTCTTTTCAACTTCTGCTTCGTTCAGTCACTAACAGCTTTACTCACAGCCTTCTATCGCTTGAAATGTCAATTCCCCAGCTCAGCTGCTAAAATCTTGCTGTTTGGTGCTAATTTACTAATCCAACTAAAGAAAAAATGCAAAACAGGCAACTCCTAACCCAGAAAATTAAGAAGACTTATGGGAACCTAAAGCACCTAAGCCGGCCTCTAACGCCTGG